AAGCGCGTCGGCCTGCGGAGGTAAGCGAACGGCTCCTGGAGTTGGCAGCTGGCTGCGCCACACGAAATTCCCTCACAAAGTTCCTTCTGGAAACTGCAGGGGATGTACAGCGAGAAGTATGCCATGCTCCTCTTGGTGCCCCTGGTCTTTTTGAAAATCACAATCTACAGACATCAGGGAGAATTCAGGTGTTCATGGCTTACGGCTTACGGTGTCCGGTAACAAATCAGTTTAGGCACTGGGCACTAGCAGATCCAGGACTGTTGCATGCAACCGTCATTTTGCGTGATCTCGGTGGAAGTCTCACGACAGGCCGCGCGCCCTTCCACAGCGCTCGCTCTCGAAGCTACAAACCACCTGTCTACTCCTGTACTCAACTTGCAAGCCGCAAGCCAGCCACGCCACAGAATATGAGCCCCACGGCCCACCCCAAAACCCAGACCCCACCTATCCAGCCCACAAGGCCTGAATCTTCCAGCGTCCTCCGTGGGATCGTCAGTGAAAGCTTCTGCCGCATTCCAGAATCGCGGCCTCAGACTCTGAGAGATTCGGGCTACATGTTTAAATGCAGCAATCATCATCGCATCTTGTGTTTAGCAGAATCATGACATCAATGGTCTCGAAAATGTCCTCGCTAAGGCTACGGGTGTTCGGTCAGACATACCAGAATGGAGATTCGTAAGCTATGCTCCGCAGACGGAAACGACATTGGCATGTTTGCAAACAAGGCAAGTTCTGCCCAGTCGTCCGTGAGTTTCTGACGGATTCGGCAGGGATGTACAGAGCTAGGCTGTTTTCCCACATCTTTATGGTCGACTAAGGATGGGTTGCTCATCTTGGATTGTAACCAAGTCGTGAATTTCTTCCACAGATCATATGAAGCTGTGCAAATGCAAGTGAAAGACCACCATCTGCGCCTGCCCACTTCAGGGCATCCCTCGGTGAAAACCCCCCCAGACGAGCGACTGGTTTGCTACACTGCACACGAAACAACACAGAGCCCCGAACATCAAAGCAGCCTAGTCTTAACAGGATTGCATGATGACTCGGTTTTGTCTGCAATCCAATAATGCCTTGACGTACTGCTCATGAAGGAGCTTGGGGCTTCCGATCAGCCCCCCTAAACTGCTGCACTTCCAGGACTTGCAGCGCCTCTCGCTGCGCAAATCATGTTCTTCCTGGATGCATAATGCAATACAATATTCAATACACCTAGCTTATATGCCGGCCTTTCCCCGAAAACCCAAGCTCCGAGACCGCCTTCCTTGCTTTCAAAAGCCGCGGCAGTCTGTTTTGAGCCCCTGTGATGCGGGATGGTGCTGGTTTTATGTGTACCTCTGGGTAACAAAGGCTCTGTAGGTTTGAAAACGAAGTCAAGGCACCCACGCGTTATCAAAGCCAGAGCACTTTCTTGATCGCACATCCGCCAAGCGCTTCAAGCGCTTCTGGATCAGGAAGTATGGGCCTGAAGCTGCCACTGTAATGCCACACGGGGCTTACATGTCCTGGTCCGTTTTAGTTTGGGATGTCTGCCGCAAATCCCCTTTGACACGAAATTTGCTTGAAACCACTCATGATCAGCGCTGACCTGTGCTGCTTGCGTTTATGGCTCTGGGTCAAAACCCTGATCTGTGGCCGTGCCTACCCCACCCGTGCTACTCCCTTCGTTGCCCCCCCCTGTGCCTCATACCTGTACCTTTGCCTGGCTGGTTGCATGTCGGGGCAGTCTTGTTGCCGTTCTTACGGTTACAAGCCTGTGTTGAGCACGTTCGTGTTTGACCCGCAGCCGCATTACAGTCAGGGCTTTGGGCGGCCATTACAATTCAGCACTACAAAAAGCATCAGGAGCTCGGAACGCACAATGAACGCACGAGCTCAGAAACACCTGCTTCAAAGCTGGCAGTCAAGTTGTCTTCACATGCTGGTCGTAAACAATTCAGGATCTGTTACACATGGATGCCTCTAGTGTACCATTGACAATTCTGGTGCGAAAGGCTTTATTCTCAGTACGATGGAGCCTGAAAAAATCATCAAGAAGCCGCTACGGATATCGGAGGACTACAACACCTGCCGTTTCGCGCCAGTGACCAGTCCAAGCCACTGCACGTTTCATCCATACCTGCGATTGAGCAGGATATGGCTGCATGTCTAAAAACATTCACTCCTTTCGCGTGCAGCAAACTTCCTCTAGAATCGTCTGTATGCGCTGTCATACGCAGCCTAGATAGCACACATACCGCTTGCCCCAACTCGCTGCCAAAGGTGGCAAAGAAGCAAAGAGGTTCTACAGTCAATATATCTGGGCGGTCTCGAAACAAAACTCCACAAATGACCTTGCAAGGACTCAAAGCCCCCCAAAATGGCTGGCAGGCTGCGCTCCAAGGCTGGAAGATTCCAATCCAAAATGCTTCAATCCCTGGATTTGTGTCATGCTTATTATGGACAGGAGGCTAGCTTTGGGTAGGGCCATCGAAAATGCAGTGGAGGCACTGTACCAGTTGAAGTAACAACTGTGGAGCTCCAGTTCCCGCTTCATGTGCCAGAGCCTGCTTGGAAGCAGCGTGACTTCAGAATCCTGATGAAAGCAAGCTAGCGTCGACATCTTTCATGATAATCGGGCCCCCATCACACGTCGAGCTACACTTGTTGTCGTCATGTTTTGGAGGCCGAGCAACTTTTCCATCGGATGTGAGATAGAAGTCAAATCCCCACAGCAAACTAAGATTCTGATGGCACTCGCAAGCAAAGGAAACGGGGAAACGCTGTCAGCACATCTCGACTCTTACTGTTTTGTTTCGGATTGTCACGGCCTTGAACACGGATCCCCATGTAGCCGCTTTAGACCAACCCACCTAAATGAGTGGCATACCTATGTGGCTCACCATCATTGGGCATGATGCTCGAAATCCCAAGCATGATGTGCTCAACAGTATAGTACGGAAAGCAAAACGGCCGATCCCAGGCGCTCTCACCAGGTCTTCATTGGGCAGGCTCAAGTCTGAATTCGTCGGCAGCTCTTCAAGTACAAAGTCTTCTGTAAGTCCTCTGTACTATTCCCATGGCATGCAGGTCGCAACCTCGCCGACCTACACTCAAAGTGCTGCTTTGCTGCAGTCAAGCAGCCTCTCCGGCCTTGCAAGTCTGCTGTGGTAGTCAGAGGAGAATGTTTTGGCAAGCATCGTCACTTATGCAAACGAAGGGGCCTCAAAGGATCTCTTGAACCAGGCTTCATCGTTAATTACTCAGACCTTCAAATCATGTCTCATGGGAATCTAAATGCTTGGTAATCATGGGCCTGTGTGATGCGAAACCGTCTTGCCATTTAAACGCGAATCGTAGAGCCCTGCAGTATTCCAAAACACTACATCCACGATCCCAGACCCAAGGTGGCCGGATCCTTAGGACTGTCCACGGACAAGATTTCAGCCCCAAAACATCTGAACTCGTATGGACCCATAGACCCACCGCTGAAGCAGTTCTTCAGCCGCAGGGACTCATGCTCCGCCAAGCGCCGCAAGAAACTGTAAAGCGAAGAGGTGGTACAGTCCTCTCAAACGATCGCGACTTGGGTTCGGTGTTCGCAAGGCTTTTCATTGAGGGGCTCCGGCGCTTGCTGGGAAAAAGGAGTGTATCCATCCTGCCCTCTGAGTGACGAGTCATGAAGTGTGAGCTGCAGGAATTTCTGCCAAACTAATTGGCCAAATCCAAGCTTCCTTTTGAAAAGATGATGCGAAACTAGCGCCAAAAGCTTGTAGCGCACGCGCTACGACAATCAAGCCTAGGGTATAGTAAAAAGGTATGAAATTGCGAACCTAGATTAAGCATGATGCAGTTTTCAAGTCCGGTGCACGGATCCAAAACAAATGACTTGATCTGTCCAACCACATCTCGACTCCGCCACACAGTACTCATGGGACCGTCACTTCTGCAGCAGAAGCAGCAGAAGCCCCCAGATTCGTTGATTGGGAGCTTGCGGCTTCGCCGTTTGCGCTAAGGATGTGTTTTGAGCTCGGCTTCCCGGCAAGACTCATCTGCCTCACAATGCAATCGGAAAGCACCTGACCCGGCTTCAGTTGTCCTCATCGTCACAGACCTCGCTCTCCGGCCATTTGATGGAGAATGTCTCCTGGGAGCTAGATGGCTAGACGTGTTGTAGTCATCGCTGGACTGAATTCTTCGCACGTCAACTCCACTGAAAAATGAGTTCGGAGAATTAGAGCCAAAACGACCGTGTAGCAGACTTAGAGTCATTGCAAGAACGAGGGTCCTTCAATTGCCTTCATGTGCAGCCCGTGCAGACAGGTTGCCAAGTTTCAGTCAAGTTTTCTGATGCAAGGCCATTCAGTCCAAGACATCCCAGACGCTTCATGGCGTGGGCTTCTGCATGTTTCTTCTATTTGGAGGCTCCAGACATGCAGCTTGATGGCTTGAGTACGGACATCCTGTCTTACAAATCTTACAAAAAAAAAACTAGCAGAAACAAAAAAACCCAAGACGTTTCTTCTGCGAGTCATCCACAAAGAGATCTTTGGGAAGCATGGAACCAAGTCTGGAAGAACCACTCCTTTTCAGTCAAGCCTCCCACGGAAGCTCCTCAGCAAAAGCCACCTCATACTCATCGCCTTGGAAAAGAGTCAGAATGCAATCTTTCGAAGGAGGGGTAAAGATGGGTTCAGATCATGCTTGGCAGACTTGGGCCACTCAAATGGGCAGCAGTAGAAGCTCGTCATTTCCATGGCATCTATTAACAAATGCGTTACTCTGAAATCTGCTGGGGTTTGCTATGCCTATTTGAAAGAAGAAAAGAAGATACAACAAAAAGCCGCCCTGCTTCCCAAGTTCATCCCTGAAAAACAACAAGTCATGCTACATTTCCTGATCTTCAATTGCAATATATTGCAATGCAGCGGTCATGCAACAGCATTCCGACTGTGCTAGAGTGCCACAACACCGACTGAAGCAAACCAAGAGCCAGCGTTGCGAATGAGTTCGGGAGTCCTTTATGCCTGCATGCCCAAGATCTTGGACAAGACTTCATACGTACGCAGCGTATTTATACTCACCAAGTGACTGAGGATGACAGGCACGCAGCCGGCATGGAAACTCTCATAAAGGTGGTTGGTCCAGGGACTGGTGCCTGGCTCTGGAATCAGGGGCTGGACACCAGAGCTTGGTATGACTGGGAGAAGTGTTGCGCAGCTGAGCTGAGGAGGCAAGCATGTCGCTACAATCTTCGTGGGCCAGAACGAGGTAGACAGTTTGTGGTCTGAATTGCGTATATCATGTGGCTGCACGAAATCTTGACACAAATGGAACTCCTTAAGAGTGATGACATCAAGACCCTCGCACCAGTGTCCTGCAGGAACTAAGCAGAAGTGGCTGTCGCCCTTTCTTTCGAGGTAGTCGGTGACAAAACCACCTGCATGCAGGTCATTGCTCAGGCAATGTGGCCAGTCCTGACCACACAGGACTGCCTTGAGCATTTGGCCAAACATCACTGTTACTCCTTGCTAGGCAACGGGGCATCTAAATCCAAAAGGCGTCACGCCCAACGCTAACCTGAGCGCCTGGTGCGCACGGCAACCTGTGGGATGGAACTAGAGGTGATATGGCGACCCACCCAACTACTGCGCGCCTATGTCCACACCTGAGTCCAGACCAGCGGCATCACCCAGCTTCATCAGTGCCTTGGGGTATGAAAGCAGTCTGGGAAACCCTTGGGCATCTCCTGCGCTTTGAGGGCCCGTGTAGCGCTCACAAGTCTAACTCCATCTTCACTATTGCTCGCGCTTAAGACAGTCACTGGTCAGGGCCGCAATCTCTCTTAACCATGGCCATCGGCCATCGCTGAAACATGGGCACCTTCTGCAGCAAGCCAGATCTAACTAGCCTTGGCGCTAAGACACACAAACAAACGGTGTTGTGTGTTCGGCGCCTTCAGCTCATTTAACTGTGCATGGTGGGTCGCCTGTTCAGGGTGCATATTCGTAAAACGGCGCCTCAGGCACAGAGAGCAAAACTCTCCAGGTTCCCTATGCTACATGTGCTACGCTCAAGACTTCCACACGCGTCCATCTAATCAGGCAGTAGAGAGCCTGCAGAGTCTCCCACAAAACACCTTGTGATGGGAGCATGGAGCATGGCTCTGAGGCAGCCTCACATAAGCTATATGCAAACAAAGCTGCCTATATTAGCTCGGAAATCCTTACATTAGCACTCCAGCATACTCCCTCCTCTCGCGCATTTTTAGCATTGAGCGTGTGAGTCAAGAAATGAACGCCCATGCATCAGACCGCTCACAACTGGGACCCGTACCCCTCTGACCCAACACTCCTCATACGCGTCATGCGCACCTGGCGTCCGGTTCGGCTTCACTCAAAACACGAAATCTCATGGTTGGGAGGCTTGTTCATGGCAATCTGGCTTAAGATTGACAATGTGAGCCTCTGCACAAGGCAAGTAGCATCAGACTGTGCAGGCTTTGGGCTTGACAATCAACCCTGCAAGGGAAGGACAGTCTGGCTCAGGACAATATCAAGAAGGAGCACAAAACACAATCATCAAGACACTCTAAACCCTGAATGAACCCTATGGACTGGCCATACTCTCCATTCCATCCCTATGATCAAAAAATTGCCATTATACACCCTGACAGGAACATGTGGCGTTGCTGCTTGGCCTGGAGCTCTTCCGTGGAAAGTCATGAGAAGCCTCTCTCTGCAGGGAATGGACGTACAGCAGGGATTGGCAGAGTTTGAAGGAGAGACTGTGCGAGCATTAAACCTTGCTCAAGGATGTTCAAGGTTCTCCCAAGTTTGCGTGCCATTTTTCACACGTTCGAGTCAACTCCGGTCCAAGCTTAGATTCAGCCTTAGGCTCTCAGCTTGCTGCCAGGTTCTTTCCTATGGAAGCGTCCGGCGCCGAGGCTTCAATCTTGGAATTTGGCACAGGAAATAGTAAAGGGTAACTTATGGTTGAATGACTTAAGGGGGACCTGGTTGAAAGACTTAGGGAGGACCTCTGCAATTTGGAGTTGAAGGACGTGATGACAGGCTTGGGCACACTACTCACAAGCCAGGGTGCATGGACAGGGTAGAAGCCAGGTTCGGCAACTCTACTCTGGACTCTTCTGAAATGCTGAAAGCCACACAAACGAGAGCACTTGAAGCCCAACTCCCAAAGCCACGTGATAACCGCCAGTAACATGCTGCACTAGTTAATTACCATTTTACATGATTCGCACCTGCGTTCTGCAGTGGGGCGGTTTTTGCCTCGGCAAAGGGAATGGGGATGTCGACAGAAATGCTGGAATCGGGAATACGGGCACTGTCTGCAAGTTCTTCCAAGCTACTGGATGGCTCCAATATGTGTACGTCTCAAACTTTTGCGTGAATTACAAGGATCATGCCATCCTGGCATAGAAGATGTGAACTGGCATTGCGAGGAATGGTTCTTCAGAGCTTTTTAAGGCTTGGATCAAGCTTTACAGCGACTTCAAGCAGGAGGATGTGCACCGCAAGTTTGGCGCTGAGGGTGCATACTGATAATTAGAACGCTTGTATGATGCGACGTCGCATTCGCATTCGAGCATGTGCAGAAGGTCACGCAAGGGATGCGCCTGTTTATCACAATTCTCCCTGACAAGCGAACATATTGCGGCTCCCGCTGCTTTCTCTGAGGGAGCTGCTCTTCATGTACTGAATTCTGGCATAGTCCGTATGTCCAGGAATGACGATATCCTGTTTGTGCAAGATGCGTGAGTCCAGGGGTGGTTTAGGACTTCAATTTCGGATGCCGGGGTTGGCACATTTAGGATCTATGATGGCCTTTAGGAGGCTTTTGAACTGCGTATGTTGCGTATGCTGCCAGTGCCGCGATGTTGGAATGGAAGTGCGACCGGATGCACTGTTCGGAGTTCTGGACTAGAGTCGGGAAGTTTTCAAGGTAATCCCTGATGTCTAGCCGCGCATCAATCCAGCGCAGGATGTAGACAAGGGACAGTACTGGAAAATCTTCAGACATGTCCTCAATTCATTTGGCCAAGTTCACTGCGATTTGCAAAGGATTTGTGCTTGCACCACGGAAGGGTCTAACTGTAGGACTTTGGGAGTCCCAGCCAAAGCCCATGAAGAAGTAAACCAAGCTTCAGGAAGTTCCAGGTCTCCTTCCAACCGCTGAGGCAGCGCTTGACATCCACGTAGCGCCGAAGCGGTTCGCCCCATGTAGGACAGCGGCTTTCCTGTAGGTTTGAGGGGTTAATTCTTTCCAGTGGTCTGAAGAAACATCCTGGCAGAATTTTTGCACTGGCTTGGGAGATGAGATGCTGTTACCCTTTGTTTGCTTGAGTTCTTGCTCTGTCTGCCTCCCTTTTGTCCTGTTCTTCTTCTTCTCACTGTGCTACCTCCCCCCAGGAGGAGGAGGCTGGGGCAGTGCCCCACACAGGATGGGTCCCTGCAACGCGGCTCTGAGCCAGGCCCCGACTATTGAGCATATGTGGGACCGCGCAGACACTTGAACTGGCTAAACAATAGAGCCCCAATCGCATACATTCTGAGTTGCTAGTAATCCCATGCGGCCCGCATATGAACTTCATCGCTTCTGACCCATGCGTGAGAACATCCACTGCCGTAACAGCTCTCTTGGCCATCACCTGTACCATCAGTGGGGAATGTTCCTACCACCGGCCCCATTCCAAACCTTTCGCTGTGCTAGTAGTCAAGTAAGGCACCAGGCTTGTAAGTACCCCAGTACAATGCAGAGAACAGTCAGGTTCAGGAGAGGCGACCCCTCACTCGGCGACATGCTTGTCCGGTGGGATTACTCCCTCCGAAGCCTCCGCGCTACTGGCAGTTGCTTCAGAGCTTCCGGAGAAAATTACATGGTCTGGCAAAAACCCCTGGGCAGAGCCCTGCAGTCAAGCGCAAGCGGCACACACTGCAACAGCCTGTCCCAACACAGGCACATACCAGCAAACTCTGACAATGAAAACAGCAGACTAGTTAGTCCTACGGATGCATCTCTGTCACTGCGCTCAACGAGAAACCTCTTGCAGCCACCCCATCACGATAGTGCAAAGCAACAACATATCTCCAGTCCCGTAGGAGAAGGCAATATTTCTTTTTTCGGGAATCTTCACTTCTCTTTTGTTGCCCTGTGGCTTTTGTACTAGGTTGTGGGGTACCACGGCTGCCTGTCCTCGCTGCACAACTTTTCCATAACTGCGAATCAACAGCGTAACTGCAATCTTACCTAGGCTCGTGCAAACACATATGGAGTCAGACCCATGTCTACACTAGCCTAGCATGGCAGCTGTCGAGGTGGTATGCACGGGTGCCAGCACACGTGCAGAAGGGCCAGCAATGACACTGGTCTAGGCATCCCCACATGCCATTTCATCCGCTCACTTGGCAGTCGATGGTGGCATCATGGCAAGTGTTCAGGCCCCCCGCCCCAGTTGAGGTACAGTAGCTTTACCTAGACAAGGTGTGAAGACTCACTCCCGGCGGGCGGACCATCTCCTGCAAGGTTGGGCCTTTCAGTGCGCCCCTGGCCCCAAAGCGCTACTGAGCGACTTAAGTGGAGGTTGCAGCACTACTCAATAGGATAATAGGGGAACGAAAACAATGACCAACCAGGAGCCCCTGCGTGCTTGGCAACCGCCTCCCCTCGTGCTCTTGCCATGGTGCATGCTCCACAATACACCCAGGCAGGAAGTGGAGGACTGCTTTGCGAACAGACAGAATCAGCTCAGCCGGCTGCTTTCCGGGCTGGGCATACTGCCAGACGGCCCCTTGGAGGATGTGCTTGGTGGTTCTCGCAAGGATGAGTTGGGACTGCCATTTGAGGCAGCTTGTGGACAGGGTGATGGGGCGTGTGGCACTCCACTGCCTAGGCGCTGCTTCTTTGGGGATAAGTACCGTCACGGATTCCTTAATGTCAGGTGGGAGTCTGCCTTTATACAGGGCATCGTTGAATTCCTGCAATATGGCATGTTGCCAGTACTCGTCTTGGGCCACCGCCTTGAGTGCTTCGAAGGACACCCCGTCAGGCCCCGTACTTTTACCCCCTTTCCACTTCGACATCAGCCTTGTCAGCTCCTCAGCCGTAAATGGTTCCCATGGTTGTTCCTTGCATCTTCTCTCCAATCTCCTCCAAATGGCCTGGACTTGTTGTCTGACTTCTTGGCCATCTTGCTTCCTGAAAATGCCCTCAAAATATGTCTTCATGCGCTTTTGCCACCCTTCCTCCTCGGTCAAATTCCCTATCCACATGGTAGGCTTCCTGATCCTTTTCACTGCATGTAGCGCGTGCCAATTGTTCCGGAGGACTTCTTGGAGGAGGTCCCTGTGCCACTGGTCCCTGTGCTGTTTTTTTTCCTCTTCCATACCTCTTTCCACAGTGTTCTGGCTTCCGGTGTACGCTTCTTTCGCATGGCCTCGGCCCTGAGCTGCTTGATTTCCCTGCTTTCCACGTATCGGAAAGGGTTTTGCTTCCTCTCTGTGATGGCAAGCGCTACCCGTTGTAGATCTCTCACTCTGTCTCCCTTCCAGCTTCGGCTCTGCTTCACTGCGTGAGAGACCAATTCCTCACCTCTTAATTGCCTGGCTCCATGCTTCTGCTCCGGGGGTCCCCGCTGGAGGGGGGGTCCCGTTGTGCGCACGACTAGGCTTGTTGCCACTGCATCATGGTCGCTGGATGCCAGGTGCCTGAGGTGGTGGACTCCCCCGCGCCCACCCTCTTCGATTCCTGAAGTAAACACATAGTCCAAACGTCTGGGCTGATGCAGCTGGTTGTAGGGGTGGTATGTTGGTGTGGGGAAATCTTGGGCAGGCGCTTGCATATCCTGCTCATTGAGCCATTGTAGGAGCATCGCTCCCCGGGCTGTCTTGCGCTGCAACACGGACCATTCCTCCCTCGCAACTTCTGCCTGGAGAAAGGTCTCATTCAAGTCTCCCATAACAATCTTGCTCTGTTGTTTCATGGCTCTCGTGCTTTTCCAGATGGCCGTGCGCGCACCGGTTTCCGCCAGTGTGGCTTTAGGGGGCAAGTGCGCATTCAGCACTCCAATTTTGTGGTGGGCAGTGTTGACCACGACCCCCAAGGCATCCTCCGCGGTCTCCTTATGCATTACCTTACCGAAGCTGGCTCGAACTGCAATCATTCTGCCTCTCCATTCCGTGCTTCTTTTCCCCGCCACTATGTGCCATCTGTCGTTGCCCCGACCCACTTCCACCTCCATGATTCCAGGGGGGCACGACACCTCTTGAAGTGCCAACACCTCAACTTTTCCAAGTCCCAATGCGGGAAGCAGTTGCACCATTTCCGTCATCCTGTCCGTGGGCAATCCTCCCACATTCCAAGTCATAACCTGCACTTCCCTGGCCCTGGTTTGATGGCAGACTGCACCCCGTTCGACTCTGTCTCTGCTCCTCCCTCTTCCCTCACGGTCTCGGATGTCATACCCTGGCTGCTTTCGGTGTTGCGGTTTGTGTCTTTGGCGCGCCTCTCTTCCTGGTCTCTTCTGTACCTCCGCGCTCGCTCTGTCACTCTGGCTGGTTCGGTCATTATCATGCCTGCGTTTGCTTGTATTGCTGTTACTGCCCCTGCATGATCTCCACGATCCGTGTCATGGTGTCCTCCGTGCACACCCCTCTGCTCTGCTGCTTTGTTCCTCTCAGCTCGGGCTGGCAGACTTTTTGTGTCCTCTGGCGCAGCAGCCTCCACAACTTCAAAAGCACCACGGGCGCTGGGCCAAGGTCTAGCTGCTCGGTCCTGTCTGGAGGCAAACTCTTCCTCTCCGGGTCCCTCCTGTACCGTCGAGGCCGCCATCATTCTGTGACGGATGCTCAATGGTACGTCATCAAGCGGATCATAGGGTTTCGTCGCAGCCACCTTAGGCGTCTGTCTGTGTTCTGTGCGGTGATAGTGGCAGTGGCTCTGTCACAGCAGCCTCCACTCTGTACGGTGGGGGCAGCAAACCCCCGGGCTCTGACCTGGGGCTCCGCGCTGCCTTCTCCAAAACTGGCGTAGTGAATTCAGTGAGGCACTCAGGGATGCCATTTGGCCCCTCAGCTCCCAGATCAGCATACGACACTTCCTCTCAGCCGATCATCAGCATGCCCTTGCGGTAATCAGCTTTAACCTCTACTCGGTCAGCAGCCTCCTTCGGCATCGCCTTCTCATACCCTTCCAGGATCGCCCTCTTGGTCTTCGCCAGCAACTTGGCTTTTCTCCGAACTTCCGGAGGTTGGGATATTGCCGCCCATACTAGCATAGCCTTGCCGTCTTTGTCCACATGTCCAGATGGCGCCCGCAGCTTTCTGGTTGATTCTACCGCGTCGATGGCTCTTCTCATCAGGGCTGTCTTGTCTCCCGATCCACCGGGACCACGGGGACCACTGCGAATCCCCTGCGCTGCCCTGGGACAAAGGCCTCGTGCGCCGGCAGCGGTAGTGCCCGATCTCGGATGAAATCTTGAACCGCCTTGAGGGTGAAGTCGGCGTCAGTGTCGTCTTTCCAGCCCCCGATGATGACAGCCGGCTCTCTGTCATCATCCTCTGCCATCAGGGGTCTCCTCCAGACCGCAGGGTGGTTGGCTCCTCCATCACGCTCCAGAGCTTCCAGTCTGCGCAGGACATCCTGAATCGAGGCCTCCTGTTCCTGGTGTCGTTTGGCTTGTGCATCCACTTTATGCCGCATGTCATCCAGTTGCTCGCCCATGACCTTCTATCTCTGGTCGACAGTTCGGATTAGCTCAAGCGTAGGTCCCATCTTGGACGTCACTTCCCCTTCCATACTCGTAAGGCGGTCCTGCAGGTCTCGCATCCCCATGGTTACCGGAGCCAAGGTGGCTGTGAGTTGGGCCGTGAGCTGCTCCAAAGTGAGGGGCGAGGCAGCTGCATGCTGCGGCCCAATGTCCCATCTCGTTCTCTTGCTTGGGGAGTCATGATTGGCCGACGTCTCCGGCTGGTTAATGAGGTCTTGGACATCGGCATCAAGCGCCTCCACGGGTGTAGTAGTTGCCCTCCGGAGCGCGTCTGTGGCCGACAGGTCCACGACTGGAGCTGGAGTCAAGGCCATGGCCACCGTACTGGACCACACTTGCCGGCGTGGTAGGTCAGAACCTTCGGCTCCGAGTCGCAAAGTGAGTCGTCCACTCTCCCAGGTCAACTGCAAGGCACAGGCTCGCACAAGAGGCTATTCAGGAGAGGAAGCCAGGAAGGGTTGCGGGGCACAAAGCGCGGAGCGCAGCGGCTCTTGTCTGTCAAACGGCTGCCCGGGCTGCCCAAGCCCCCCCCAACCCAGGAGCGTCCACCCCTGGCCACCACAGGGACTACTCCCCACAATGACCAGGGGCCGCCCCGAGTTGCCCCAGCCAAAATGGCATAAGGCGGCGGGAGACTTGAGCCAAAATGGCTACCTTTCTTCCTGTCTCGCTCTCTCTCTTCCCGAGCCGAACGGCGCTCCGCAACTTTCTTCTGGAGACACAACATCTTCATGAACCTTCTAAGTAACATCACTTCGGGGCTTCTCCCACGACCTTCTGGTCGACTTACGGTAGATGGAGCCCAAACCCAAGAAACACCTGTGCTCCAGTTGCTTGCTTGTCAGCGACCTCCCGTGTGCAAAAGGACTGTTACCTGAACAGGCAAAGATCCGGCGAGATAAAGATCGATTCGCTCCGGAGGAGGTCGTAGCTATCCTGCAGCTGGGAAGACGACGGAGCACAAATGCGAGGTTAACTTGAATTGTGCCGCAAGGTGATTTCTGGAAGCTCGGCTGTCTATACATAGGAGGCGGAAGTTTTTTGGTATGTCTCCAGCTTTCTGTTTTGGATCAAGCGCTGCGTGAATCGAGATCGCTAGCATAGTTGCTGCAGCCTAAGCCCGATGAGTCCAAAGACGCTGCAACCGAGATACCCAGATGCGAGGGCCTTGGCCATCCGCAAAGAGGAAAATGTGGTCCTCGAACTGCGAGCACAATCGCTGCACTGTTCTCTTATCGTCAAAATCTCTCTGCAAAAGGGCTGATGAGACCTCCTCAAATCCTCGACTTAGGAAATACACAGCATGTGATCCTTGCATGATCAGGGGACATCCACAAGCAGTTTTGGGATACCTGGCTATGTCTGTGTTTGGGGAATGCAGCCCGCATGTCCGATCCCTCGCGGCGATTGAAATACTTGGAGGCCTTCAGGAACCTGAGCTCATGCCAAGCGCGGCCGGCAATCACTGCAGGCGTGTTACACGGTGAAAGAACGCTCACACTCATTTGTTCTGCAGTAGAACTCCCCTGAAATTTTAGGCGTGGCTGAGGGAACGGCTGAGGAGCTTCGAGCGTGGCTGATGCAAAGGCTTCGGCTATCGGTTTATTGAGTGGGTTGGAGGCTGCAAGTGAGGGATTTAATGTTTAATGTCTTCAGCTTAAGCTCCCCTGAAGTGGAGGCTGCCAACGGCACGGCGTCGTAAGATCCACTCCCCTCTCTCTTTGAACAATCTCATCTTTCGAGATGGGGCGGCAGTGGATCATATTGGTCTTGCATGCTTTAGACCTAATTAGATCCAGCTCAATTGCAGAGGCGAAGCTCCATCAGTGGATCCCAGATGTATTTGGTGGACACCTGGTCCATATCCTCAGTTCCCGCTCTTGGCAATAGCTGGCAAAGCTTGATGGTCTGTGGACTGACCTTACAAGCCCTGGCAGGGTTCAAACTGGACTCGCAGTGCAAAGTCCACAATGGTTTGCATGATCTGCTACAGAGGCTCTGCCAAGACTTGGCCATCGTCAAATGTAGTGATGTTCCTGGGACCGGGCTGTAACGTTGTCTGGCATGCGCGCTAAGATTCAATGCATTCATACTTTAGATTTATCTACGTCTGGGATTAATCCCGACCTGCTTGCTTGGGACGCACGGGGTTCCCTGATTGTTGAAGAAAGTGTCCCATTGAGCTTCACATAGATGCAGGTTGCGTAGAGAGGCACATAGAACCAGTCCGCTTCATCGGCGTTCGGAGTATTGCAGTTGTGTCCTCAGATTCCAGGATCTGAGCAAGTACTGCGCAAAGGCTGAATTGCGCATCTGCAGTTCCGACCCAGGGCCTGACGGCAGTCCCGCCCTTTTAAGATCTTCGTGGTCAACCCCAGACTCATGTTCCGTCAAGTACACCTAACAGAGACTCGTCCAAGCGGTCGCGCCACCTGAAGCTCTGGGGCCGACCTCAAACGAAGAACTGGCTGTTGGGACAGCCCCTCCCAGGGAGACGAGAGGCCC